AAACTGACATGTTTTTGTTCCGCTCAGCTGCAAGGCCCAGATTCAGGTTTCAAAACCAATTTAAGCTGGTCATGCAGCTATCCAGGTGTACATTCCTGTCCTTTCTCTCACAAGAGAACCAGCACTTCTACAGCATGTTCGCAGGTGCTTTGGGGACCTCATCCAGCTGACAACTACAGTTACGAAAAATGAAAACAAAAGCTGATGAATTTTGCCATTCTTTTAGCACCATCTCAGGTTCATGCTGGATTGAAGTCACTGTGTACCCACCACCTCTGCATACTCTGCCAAGAGCTCTGCCAGCACAAGAGGTTATCAACCCAAAAGCAACCTCGCAACTCATCATTAACATTTCTCCATCACCACTCCTCTCTGCCAGCAGATCTGAGAGGGCCTTTACTATGGTACAGCTGGATTTGGACCTACTAAAGCCCCAATCAGGCTGCAAGAAACTAAAATACTACAGATAAGGGGAGGTCAAATGTACCAGAATATATATACCAGGGTAGAAGAGAGATGACTGAGGTGGGATACCATAACAGACTATGAAATGCTAAATGTTAAAGAGAAGAAAACTATGATTTTCTACTCACACAGTGACATCTAATCAAATTTAATAAGCAACAGGCTAAAAAACAAATAAGAAGCATCATTTAACACAGTGCAGTCCAACTATGCAAACTTGCTGCCAAAGGGAGATGACAGAAGCCCAAAGTAATGGATAGGATCAAAAAGGGATGAGAGAAGCATGTGAAGGATAGTTCTACATGTTGTTACCAGACACACACAGCTATATGGGGCCCTGGTTCAGACAGCCTTTTAACCAGTATGTGCCAGAAGCTGACAAGACAGACTGGGGAACAGGTCACCTTGCTGGACATGTTTGCGAGCAACCTGCTACATACTATGTCAGCATGATCTTTGGGACTGACCCAGTTGAAGGTTCTCATGTTTTATAGGGTCTTTGTAGTCCCATATAAAGGCAATACCCAGCACTGCAGTCTATCTAGATTCCAGCCTTGCCCATGAGATTTGGAAAGCTGGCACTCATGTGCTCCCAGAGCAGGCATAGGGAAGGATCATACCCCTAATTCCCTGTCAGCAAGAACTGCTGCAGCAGTGTCCCTGCCTGTGGTAGGGGGGTTGGAACTAGATGATCTTAAGGTCCTTTCCAAACCTAACTATTCTATGATTCTAACAGGAGGGAACACTTACCAAGGATTCTTTTCCTCCAAGAGATCAGGCACAACATTTACCAAGGCAATATACAGAAATCCTCCAGAAGTGAAAGGGAGGATCCAGGCTACTGTTTCCCCTGCATGAATGCAGAAAGATTTGGTTATTACTGAGACAAAGCTATAGGAGAGAACACAAGGGAAAGAAGACAGACACACGGGGACAGCAGCCCACCCTCTCCCATTCCTAGAGGTCCCATCAGGGAGCCTTACCTGCTCCTTTTGGTGACTGAGCACATATTGCAAAGCAGGCTCCTAGAATCCCTCCCAGAGCTGTGGAAAGCTGCATCTTGGCTGCACTCCAGCGGTCAAAGCCAGCCCGAAGTAGGATTGCAAAGTCTCCAACCTAAGAAAACCAAAAGCTGACAGTTAATGAATACAAATACGAATGGCTGCCTCATCCCTGGCAGTGTTCAAGGCCAGGCTGGATGGGACTTGGAGCAACCTGGTCTAGTGGAAGGTGTCCCTGCCCGTGGCAGGGGGTTGGAACTAGAGGATCTTTAAGGTCCCTCCCAACCCAAACCAGTCTGTAATTCTCAGTCACAAAGGGCATCCGTAAGACCAACGCTTCAAGACTGTTTATAGTTTTCCATGTTGCCAGTCTCCCAGAGGAAGCAGCTTCCAAAGGTACAAGAAAATGTTAACCTGACCCGGCCCTCCTCTTAGTAGATGAAGCACCCCTGTAATCCCTCATGATAGCAGGATACCAAGCCCTCTCACCTCATGTGGGATTTCGTGCAGGAGAATGGCCATTGTGGTTAGGAACCCAACCTGTAGCAGAGGAGAGAAGGTGATTAGCAAAGTCTCCCAGCTCTGAGAGATGAGGCTTCCATGAGCATGTCAAGGCCCCTTTCTCAAAGTTCAGCCAGAGGGTAGACAAGCTAACCCTTCCCCTAATGCCACAGCAAATGACCAACATGACCCAAATCTGAAGAAGTTCTCCAGCAGAAGGTCAGGACAGGGTTGCTTTTTATTTTAGTCCCCATTTCTCCGACAATTTCCCTCCATTTCTCCAGGAAATCCAAGAAAACTCCATGCATTTCTGGGGTTTTTGCATGTTGTATGACACTTGAGAATAGTCCTCTCCAATTCAGTACATAACTGGTGACAGAAACCTTACCTTTCTGCTAACGAGGAAGCTGGCTGCTACTGCCAGGCCGTGTGTAAAGTTATCAATGGTGTTGGCCAGCAGATTGAGGTATCCACTAATCTGCAAAGAGAAGGAAGAGCCCCCAGTAAAGGAAGAGACATAACAAGATAAAAGAAAGCACAAGGCTTAGACGCAAGTTATATGGAGGCACAATCATGTGGGAAAGGTCAGGGCATGGCTCTTCTGGTGAAGACCTTAAACTATGTCAGTGTTCAAGTACAAATGCAAGAATATATCTGATTCCCAGCTGAAAACATTTTAGGTAACACTGACTAATTTACACAGGTGACTGGCTTCAGATATGACCTGACCTTGTTTTCTAGTCATGTACTTTAATATCCAACTGTTAAATATCTCCTCTTAAAAAGCTGGCAAGAACAATTCAACAGAACAAATGTTGCTGAAATTGCTTTTTATAACTAAACAAATCTTCAAACATTGTACTAAAAAAGCCTGTGCTTGTGGGTTTGCTTTACCCTTAACAAAGAAGAAAAAGAGAAGACAGTGATGACAGTCACCAAAAAACCACCTACTAGAGGGCTGGACAGCATGTTTATGTATTTGCATGTAAATACATTTTTTAAATTATAAGCATAAAGCAGTTGCCCTCCTCACAAATCCATTCCCATGTCAGACTTCCCTATTACGCTGTGGTCATCTTCACACAAATTCCCAGTGTTCGACCTGAAGTGATTTATGAGGGAACCACCACAGCTCTTCTGCTCACAGGTTTCTGGGCTTTTTTCCCCTCAGGTTTAATAAAAACTACTTTGTGTGGGTCCTGAGACACTGCAGTTTAAATTATTATCAAGCCAGGTGTTGGCCAATACATCAGGCTCTCTCTGGACTGCAAAACTAAGCTGGCATATATTAACTCCAGATACACGGCAGCATCCAGTGAGTGGAGAGACTGTCTAGAAACTGTGTGTTATTGACCTCTTATTTCACCATAGCATCAGATGCCAAAGTTCAGCTAGAAAAAAAACACAAGTGCTGATGGGTTTCATGAGCCCTTTCTGGTCTTCGGCTCTTCCCTGTCTCTATCATACTCCGCTTGGGGCATCTTTATTCCTGCCATATGGGGCTTTCTGTCAAGTCTTTCTCCTCAAAGCACCACTTTTCTGCAGGGCACTTCCACTGCACAATCTCAGGACATCTTTATAAGGTGTAAACCTTTAAAAAGTGCATTGATGACTAAGTATGAAAATAAAGAATTAAGCAAAGCCTTGCTACAGATCATGTTAAGTAAAGAATCTAAGTAACATCTCCACAACGGATGCAGAAATGCCCTGCATGCTTTGGTAAGAAAGGGAACACAAAGGGATGCATGCAGGCATGCCCATAAACACGGCAGTTTTACTTCTGCCTCCTCATTTTTAGTCAGATATGACTGTCTAATATTTCTGCTTTTCATGTTGCAAATTTATGTGACTGCTTTTTCCCCACAAGCAAGTAATAATTATTCACAGAAGTTTTACACAAAAATGCTTTCCCATACCACTGTAGAGGGAAAAAATAGACCTCATGATTAAAACATGATGACTTTTTCTTGTCAGTGGCTTGGGCAAAAGCTGTCACTGAAAGAAGCAAAGCCTTGGAGTGCTCAGAAATAAATTGGGTTGATGTGACAGTTACGAGTCTCTGACATTTACATTCTGTGAATCCCTAATAGGATGTTCTCATTGCTCATAAAGAGCACAGCCAGATGAAGTGTTTATGTTCATGCTTCAGAATTAATGTCACTGTGCAATAAAACATACTTCTACAAATCAGCAAGGACCTCATGTGCCATAGGAAAAAAAGGAAAAATAAGCAATGCAGAAGTACTCTACAATATTTTTACTTGCTAAGGGAATGAAGGCTGCAATGCAGGGCAGAACTGATCTATGTTTGGGTGCAAAGGAAGCCTCCCACCTGCAGTTTTCAAGCTAGGACAAATTATTACAGCTGCAGCTAAAGAGAAGAGCTAATATAAATGGACAAAGGATGACCAATAGCTTACTAGTCATTAAGCCCTGAAGAGTGACTTTTTTTCTTTAAATAGTGTATTTCCCTTTTTGTTTTCTGAAAACAAAAAAGGGGGCTACTGAGTGAATAGTAGAACCCAAGAAGTCTGGCTTGCCATAGTTTGCTTTCTTTTCTTTGTAGGCACCTACCTTGCTCACTTCCAGCAATGCTGTTTCCCCATATGTACCTTCCCCACCCTGCACTGCATGACAGCCACTTCCCCCCACCATAGGGGCAGTGAGACCTACCTGCTGCTCTGCCAAGCAGGGGGACCTACCACCAAGCAGCATCTCAGTTCTGACACAGTTTGTCAACAGGACATTAGTTTGCATTCCTCCTCTACTGCCATCATGATTTTTATGGAGCTTGCAGGAATTTGATTACCCTCAAGACTTCTCTCCTCTCTTGAACTCGAGCAAAATTAATTATGGGTTCAAAAGGTATTGAAAATGAAGGGCAGAACAGATGGACAGACAGATGGAATGACTGCTTCTGTTGTTGCCTAAGGAAACAGGCTAACAACGGAGGAAGATCTCGGTAGTTTTGGTAATTTCCACCCTGCCAGGAAGACTATTAAAATATCGAGATTACATGCTCTGAAAGTAGAAAGTTAAAGCTACCTGTTAACTCATTAGTTTCTGTTTCATGCATATTGACAACAGTCGAAAGACTGAGAAAGGCTCTCCATGGCTGAGTAGACCTACATAACACAACTGAAAGAATCTTACTCAATTTATGCACAAAGCCCATTGTTTCTTAAGCTATAATGTATTTTGTAGAAAGCAGCTTAAATCATAGCTTAAAGCCCACAAATGACAAAGAATCTACTATGTCTCTAGGGTAAGTTGGTCCACTGGCAAGTAACCCTCAGTTACAGAGTTGTCTTTGATTTCTAGTCTGCTGCTGTTTGGTATAGCTTTAACTACTGAAATTTAGTCATGCCTCTTACATGGGTGTTAGTATCAGTTAAGTCAGCCCTGATCTGTTACATTTACAGAGCTAAAGACTAAAGAAAGCCACTTCTTATCACATACAGCAAACCTAAAGTAATTATTTCAGCTCCTTCCTGAACCCTTTACAAACAAGCAGTGGTATTTTGGATATTGTGAATAACTCTACTGGAAAAAGTCAGAAAGCTGTTTCATTACTGCTATACAGGAAGAAGAGCACTTGCCTCTTCTCTTATGTACTATTTCCTACTCACCCATCCTCCTGACTGTAGCATCATAATGGAAGAATGTGTTCAAACAATTTCCTACTGTGATTCTCACACCTTTTTCCAAGGCATTGACTTCCCAGAAACCATCCCTATCTTGTAAATATGATCTGCATTCTTTCTAATCTATTCCTTACTATTTGCACGGATCAAAGCATGCTAAAACTTCAGCTCTTCTGATGAAGTAACTGTTTAGTCAGTATCACTGACCTCATGCAGGCACAATGTGCCATTTAAGTAATGTAGTATCTGCAAATGTAAAGATATACTGGTTTTATAAACAATCACTTAGAAAAATCATAAACCAGGGAGGGCTGCATTAATCCAGTCCTTGTTGATAATACAGAATAACTGATTTTTAACAGAGCTAATATTAGCAAAGTTGATTTCATGCAGTACTAGTTTTATTAGAATGTGGGAGAAAGTTATGTTTTATATTCGTTTCTCAGCATCATTACCTTCATCAAACAATCTCACGACTGAATAAAAGGCAGGGAAAAAACGTTTGGTTGACAAGAATTTATCTTCCACAAAATCATATGAATTAATTTCATTATTATTTTTTTCAATTAGGAGCAAGCCCTGAGCAATTGTGTCCCCCATCAGTGTTTCATTTCTGCTTGAAATCAGTGGTAAACTAATCATCCTCTAAGTCTCTGGTTCCTTATATAAACCTTTGTAAAGTAATAGCAGAGTGTTTCATAACCCAGTAATACTGGTTTTTCCTCCACTATCACCTCTAGAACCATCAATGCAGCACCCTGCAGTTTGCGCAGTGTCTGTGTAGGTTATATGAATGTGAGAGACATCAAAAATGCCCAGTGACCTCAGCCTATCTTCCACATTGTGGAGTAAGAGCTATGAAATTACAGCAAAACAGATCTAAACCAGAAAGACTGAAGAGCCTCTGACTGACCACATATCCAGGGTCTGGGCTAGCTCATGCAACCACGCTTTCTGTTCTTAGTTACTCTCCTCCAATCCTGCACATTTATATGGGCTTTCCAACCCAAATTATAGGTCCTCCTTCACCAAAATGGTCATTTACTCTCTTACTTGTAATGTTCACCCAGACAAAGGTTTCCACAGTGCAAAGACAGTACCATAAAACTGAAAGCAAAGCCAAGCTGAAGGTTAGCCACGGCCCAGTGGCACAGTACTCCTTTTACCTCCTCCACCTGCTAAGCTGATTCAAGAAGTTAAGTTAGGAGAGAAATAAACCTAGGGAGGGAAAAGGAAAAAAGAAGAAAAAGCAGCAGCACTTATTCTTTGCCTATGAAGCTCCCTGAATAGACTTGCTGTGGGGTCAGATGAGATCCACTGCAAAGGAACTGATAAAGGTTTGGAGGCAAAAGGGGACAAGAAGCCCTTTCTGGCAACAGATATACTGCTGATCTGAGAAACTGAACTTCTGAGTTTTACAGTGGAGAGCTTCAATTGTCAAAATGCTTCCAAAAGGTGCCTTAAAAGGAAAGGTGCAGCTCACAATCGGTACAATGGAGGCACTAGAGAACCAAGAAATCAGGGCACAAAAATTAGAGCAAATAAAGATATAACGACTGTAAGAGAGTAATAAAATGTGAAAGAACTGTACTTTGGTCTCAGGATTCAGCCAAAACACACGTCATCAGACACATGCCTTCACAAGAGTGATTTGCCCCTTTGGCATAAGCTGCAGTGCAGATTTCTCCTAAGTCCTCCATTTCCTCCCTGCTATGACCCAGACAGACACTTTGACAGAGCAAATTAAGCACAACTCACTCAAGCACTGAATTCCTCACTCAGGCACAGTTCTTTCCACAGACAACTCCCCAATAACGTAAGATGTGAAGGTGAGTTTGTGGGTCTCTTACCTTGATTCTGTTGTCTGTTGGACAGGACTGGCGAGAAGAGCCATTACACTGAGCTGAATCTGTTCCTGCTCTTTGGGACTGGCCTGCCACCTTTGGCAGTGCATAGCCACTTCCATTTGGAATCTTTCCAGCTGGTGCTTTGGAATCACAGACCTAAATTAGGGGAGAACAACTTGTCACTCCCTTTTTGTCAGTGATGAATAAGCATGAATCAGGGTCAGAAATCCAATCTTCCCCCTTAATCCTTTTGTCCTTCCAATGCAAACCAGCAGCTTTGGCATCCTAGTTTAATAACTGCCAGAAATGAGACAGATTTCAGAGACCATTGTGACATCTGCACTGTGAGACAAGAATGAAGACTTCCCAATCACCCAGAGAAAGAAAGTAGAAAGAGAGGAGGAATTGAAATCATGCTCCCTTGGCATAAGCCAGGTTCCTCTGGAAAGACAAGGGACTGAGCCTGCCACTTCTGCTGGCAGCTGCTGCCCAGAGAAATACACCTCCACCTGGGCAGGGGATGGGGCAAAAAGTGTTTGCTCTCCCCAGTGCATCAGAATAACTAAGTCAAGAGAATTACTCTATAGCTGGGATTTGTCAGCTTCCAAACAACAAAATGCTCACCTCAGCCTTCAGTCACTCTGTAAATGAAAAGATCAAGTTCCTTTCAGACTTTAAAGTCTCATGTCAAGTCAAAGTAACACATAATTGCTCTTATGCAGTGCCTGACCTGCAGTTTCATCTCTCAAAAGTCATGGCACAGCAAGGACTGAGCAGTCTGTAGGAGCTGCTGTTAGGAGCTGTGCAGATGTCTGAAGACTAGCTGTTCTCTCCTGATACCTCTGCCTACATTGCCCCTTTGCAGCTGGGTGACTTTCCTCTGAACCATTACTTACTATTACCTGGTCAACCTTAAACCTGTTTTACACACAAATTTGCCCAAACAAATGCCTGATTCAGGCCATACCCAAGAAAAGGGGCAGTGAGGAACACCTTCCAGAGAAGACTGGTTTTTGTCCCAACTGAGGACCCAGAAGGCAAGTAAGTCACGATGGCTCAGTGGAACGTGCATCAGCAAGCTGTCACCCCTCAAAGCTTGCTCGAGCAATAGTCTCATCTGCAGAGCTCCAGCTCCCAGTCCCCATAAAAGGGTAGCTCTCTTTTATAGATACCACATCAAGAACAAAACTAGCCCAGAGGTGAGAAATCTCAGCTAAAACCACAAAACCAAAGCCCAGAGATGAAAAGCCTTCCTCTACAGCCCAGTGTCAAAGACGTGGCAAAAAAGCTCCCAAAGGGCACTGACAAGCTACTCACAGTTCCAGGATCATTTGCTGTGCCTGTCAGATAGGGCAGATGAGGTGTTTAGTACAGTGCTCCAAACATAGCAGCACTCCCTCCCCTCCGGCTGAAAACTTACCACACCAGGGCACTCCTTCTCTTCTTCCTCTAGGAAGATCTTCTCCAGCACCAGGAAGGTCAGGAAACCAATGATCACCCAGAGACCCAGCAGCTTCTGCTGCTGAAAGCTCTGCCCTTCTCCTGAGGGACAAGAGAGAAATCTTCATGACACTATCAAGTGCACAGCATCTCCCACGTGTGAACCCACCCTGCCCCAGACAGTTTAACCAGCAGTTCCAAGACATAAATGACCATGGAAAGACCTCCTGTGAGGAATAAAGAACAAACATATCTCAAAGCAAATTAGTTTAACTTGCTCATTCTTGACCTAATAGATATCCTCATCTTGGAAACTCAGAGTGAGAGCCCCCTTTTGCTCCAATAGTGCAATCCAGAGTATTTCCTGACAACACTGGGAATTTCAATGAGCTCCAGAGGCAACTGAAGGTTACATCAACAAAACTCCTGCAGCTGCATCTACTGAGCAGCAAGTCCGGACATGAAATCTGCCATTAGTGGAGCTACAGACCCACCTTCCCCTTTCTGCCACACCTGAGCAAGTTATGAAGCCCAAAGCTATAAACTTTCTTTTCAATTAGAGCCAAGCTTGTGAGATAATCACCCATTCAGCCTGGCTGCAGACATGGAGACTAAACTCCAGCAGAAGAACAGAACGACTCCGTAATGGGGCTTACATGGGTCAACGAAACCTTTATGCTTTGGGACAGGCTGGCAGAAGCAAACAAGCTAGAGCAGGAAAATAGGCATTTGGGAATCACTGTAGAAAGGGGGGGAAAAGCACAGCAAGTTCTGCCGGCAGTGCTAGAGCCGATGAAGAAGAGGACCAATGGCCCTGCAGATTTGAAATCCCACGACACAGGGGCACGGAAGCCTGGGAAACCCAGGGCATCTTTTTCCCCCTCTCTCACATTCTCAGTGGGGAAATGATTTCTTGGTCTCTCAACAGGTGAGATGCAGCAGCACTTGCCTTCTATGCAATCAGTTTGCTGAAGCAGACAGATACAATCATTACAGGTTTCAACAACCCTATCTGATGGGTGAAGGAGATACACGGATACCAGAAGCTCTGTCCCAGCCCAACCAGTGTTTAGTTTGCTGGCAAACACAGGTTTCTATCAATAACCTGCGTTTCCTTTCTTCTGCATTTCCATTCCTTTCTACTATGTTAGTCATGGCTCTCTAGACAACTTTCCATGACTTCTCCTTGAGCAAAGATTGAGAGGGCAACACATCTGGGCTTCCATAGATGGAAGTATCCAGTGAAGGGGTCCCAGTTAGTCCCAGTAAAGAGGCTCTTGAAGCAACACTGTTATAGGGACAGATTTATAGCCAAGATGGACCTGATGGGGCAGAACCCCTCCCTGAGATGGTGCACGTGTTCATGTATGAGACCACTCACATTTATAACTTCCCATCAGGTTAAAGAATCATCCCCTTTCCTTACAGAGAGGACAAAGGAAAATCAACAGGGATTTACAGGTGTCCAAGACAAGACAGGAAAAGTTGATAGACAAGAAATCCATTGCAAGTTACTAACATAAAGAAACCGTGGCCAACTCAGGAAGCCTCCAATCTCAGAATCTTTGGAAGACTGCAGAGTACATGTGTTTTTGATGGAATGTAGCAGTAGACATAGCATAGAGTGCTTCTAGGCACATAAAGCTTTCAATACCTGACGTTGCACTGCATGTGTAGGCCCAGGCTTCGGGAAGCAGGTGCAGAAACACATTCCCCAGGAGCCCACCAATTGCAAAACTCAGCAACTGCTTCAAACGGTGTGATCCAGCTAAAAGAAAAACCAAACCAAACACTGATCACAACTCAGCTGGGAACCAAAACATCTCCAGCTGAGATTTTGCACAGAGACACCTAAATTGGAAGCATCTGCAACACAAGCTTTCAAAGGAGAGAGCACAGAACAAATAGCTGGAGTGCCTGCACCACTTGGCTGGGACAGCAGTGAGTGGGAGGTTCTGGACCAAGCAGGGTGCAAAACAAACAATATCCTTTGTACAAGCTCCATCCAGGGCTTGCATTTGTCCAAGGGCTCCCCCTCAAATTTGCAGGTATAGACTAAAGCATCAGAAATGGACCGTGTCTTTTAGAGGACAGTATTTCTGTGACAAGGTGCTGTTCATCGCTGTGCCATTCAGTAAGAACCCAGGACTTCTGGCTTCAGAAGGACTAAGGCAGGTAGCAGGCTTACCTTCTGACCGCAGAGCAGCTCCTGTCTCAAATGGGATCACCAGCAAGGGGAAGACCCCACTGAGCCCCACCATGAACGAACCAATGAGGGAACAGATCCAGGCATCCAGCCGCTCGCTGCTGAAAAGGTTTCCCAAGGATTGTGTCTCCTTCTCACACAGAGGACCAGAACTAGCAGCAACATGACCTGCCGGGAGCTGCTGAGCTTCACAGGCCACAATCAGAAACAAGGAGAGCGTCCCATCAAGCAGAAGCTTTTGCTTTGTCATCGCTAAGAGGTCTCAGCCGGGCTGGCCAATCTCTGGAAAGAGCAGAGGAGAGCAGTCCTGAGTGTGCTGGAGATTCCCTCCCGCCATCCCAGAGGAAAGGCCTTGGCCACACCATCCCCTCCCTCAGCATCTGAGCACAGGTAACAAACACCTGAACCTCTTCCTGATTTCAACACAGCACTAAAGGACAGAAAGGTTGTTTAGGTGTATGAAACTGCAGGTGTGAAACATCTTTTAAGAGTCTGGCTTTCAGCATCTCCCCTCAGGTGGGCTGGAATAGGACTCCTTGTCCTTGCCTTTTGGTGTCCCGAGGCTTCAGTGAAAGGTGCTGACCACAGATGCTACCCTGGTAAGTCTTCTCTTTGCCACGGAACTTTGCCAACTTCTCTTTGCCATGTTACTGCATCCAGGTAACAAATCAGGATGCAAGACAGGCAAAGTAACAGAGGTCTGTAAAATCACGAGTGGTGTAAAGACGGTGAACAGGGGTAGGTTATTCACCATCTCTTCAGATGTTCAGTACTACCAGCCATCATGTGAAGCCAGTGAGGGTCAGCATCAAAACAAAACAAACATGTGACTCTTCAGCAGCAGGCAGCTTGCATGGGAGCTTCTCCAATATGGAAAATTTTATGAGGACTACACAAAAGACAGGACAAGTACTAAAAAGACAAACCTATGGATTGCTCATGGTTAAACAGCTCACATTAGACTCAGGAAATACTCTTATCTGAAAGGAGCTGGATGAATAGTTGGAAAATATCATATATACTTGTCCTATTTTTATTCTTTTCTAGAAGGGTATGGGTTAGATGGTCTCTTAGTCAAAACCAGCATAGCTGTTACTAAGAACTCTTCAGTCACAAGGAAACTGGAGAGAAGTAGGTGTGTTAGAAGAGGAAAATAAAGATAATTACACTCTCATGGGCAATCAGGAAAGAAAAGCAAATGATGCAAAGGCTGAAATGCAAATGCTCCTTCAGTCTCCAGAAGAAAGAGTGAAATGTGTCAAGCAAAATTAATTTGGAAATGGGAGAAAAGGGTGGGTTAGAAAAGAATGCCTTAAAAATGTTCTCAGAACAGCTTTAGACTGAGAGGGAATAAAAGCATTCACCTGAAGACATGTAAGAAACCAGCCAAAGTAATCTCTGAACTGTTAGTGACCATCTTTGAACAGGGAAGGCTACAGAAGGCTGGAGAAGCATCATGCCTCACCTACCTTTATAAAAAGAAAAAAAAAGGTGGCAGAAGACTTAAGAAGTTACAGACCAGTAACTTCAATCCTCTGACAGACTCTTGATCAAGTTAAATGATCAGTTTGCAGTTACCTATAAGATAAGAAAGTAATAAAGATAGCAAAGCATTAAGTAACAGCCAGACAGAAAGGGGCCTGAAATTATCAAGACAAAATTCATGGTGTTGGAATCAATCTAAGGGCTCACTGCAGCCAAAAAGGGCAGTGCTGCTCCTTGTCCCCACTCCCTTATGAAGCATCAAAGCATCCCCTCCCCATGCTCATACCTGGCTCCATGAGTGAGCAGGGCACAACAAACTAGCAGGAAAAGCTCTTCTACTTTTAAAGGCTTGAACTTTTTCCAGTTTCAGTCCCTGAACTAAATCACTGCAGGAGGAAGGCCCAGGTGTGGTGAGCAATCAAATATTAAAGGACAAGGTCCCATAGCTCCCATGAAGGAGAACACTGAGCTCCAAGCCCAGTGACCACAGACATCAGGAGCAGGGAGGATGCAAGAAGGAGCCAGGGAAGACCACAGGCTTGGCTAGCTGTGCAAGAGCCACTAAACTTTTGGTGGCAAGATAATATCTGATCAAGTGCAAACTCTACTGACCCATAAAAATCCCATCCCTTCTTTTAATTATTATTTCACAAGAAAAAAACCCCTCTCGACATAGCAAGTTCTACCCAGCTCAGGGTTTTGTGGCATCTTATTGCAGCGTTTTGATCTGGCTGCAGGAAACCTACTACCTATAGCATACCTGGAAATAATCTCAGTAAAGATCAGTACAATCTGTATCTAAGGGGGGACGGTGGGGTGGGGAAGGAACGGTAACTCCAATGTGCCACCAAAAGAGAAGCACACACACATTACATTGACTCAGAAATTATTCCAAGCCAACAAAGTAGGGAAATGACATCCTGGAACATATTATTGTCCCTGTATTGTAGGTGTGACACAGAAGCAGTTATTCCATTCCACTCCACACAGGTGAAACTTTAGCCAACAGACTTCACCCAACCTCACTTACTTTTCTTTATAAAACAGATGAAAAAGATCAGTGGAAAGAAAAAGCAGAGTGTAGAAAGCATGACCTGGAAAAAACAACTGAAGGACCTGGGTATGTTTAGTCTTAAAAAGATAACACTGAAGAGAACAGAATGGTCTGCATACAATAGAAGTCACGAGAAAGGGGGAAAGTGCTCTTCTTCCACATTGTAGCACCAGCTCAAATGGTAAACAAGACTCAGCCTGGGTATGAAGAAACAAATTTACATGGTGCTGAAGTGGTGATACGAGCTATCTGTGATGCAGAACCTCCAGCACTGGGGTTTTTTTAGTTCTCTTGAGAAAAAGAATAAACACCTGATGCAGTTGCTATTTCACTGCAAGGACTAGATCCCTTCTTGAAGTCCCTCCAGCCCTACGCCTATAATTTGATGTAAACTGGAGAGATTCTTGTTCCACTGGCAGGACCCTAGGAAAGGGGGCAGGTTTTCAGCTGTAAAGCATTATTGGTACAATCACTCCAGGCACTGAGCTGATGCCCTGAGTCCTAATAACAACTGCAAGGAAGTCTGATGGGCCAAAGATGCTGCCCTCTGCCCAGCTCCACCGCATGAACCTACCTAGGAAGGTGCCAGGCCCCCTTGTTCTTTACTGGGATTCAGGCTCCCCACAAAGCTATGCACACACACACACACAACTACAGTAAAACTGTGCCACAGAATCCTCCAGATTTCTGCAGTGGGGGAGACTGGAAGCTCTTAAAATATTAGCTGCCCCCTACCATGGTACCTAATGGGTAGTTCTGTCCCAAGTACTAATGCAGGCTGAAGCCATTAGCCACACAGGCATCTGTAGAAGGAGGTGATGGGACTCTTCAAGCACATTACACCAGCCACAGCCTTCTCTCTGCTTACTAGCTGCTACATAACAACCTGCAATTAGAGAATTTCCTGCTTTAAAAAAAGACAGGCAACCCTTCCAACCCCAGAGCAGGCCTGATGGACGCCCTCTTCCTTTGTGACAGGATTAGACCTAGAAAATGACTGAGAACGGCTTCTTTGGAAGGAACAGAGAGAAAAGAATATTTAAAAGCCAGGATTTATACAACCACCACATGCCTGTGAAGAGGCAACAAACACACGCAGCAAAATGACTGCTCTCTGCAGCTTGGCAATGATGAGAAGTGGCACAAACTGGCCTCTTCCACAACCCTGTTGTCACGGCTTTTGAACTCAGTCTGGAAAAGTAATCACTGCAATTGATTCAACAAGCCCATTCCTTCCATCTCCTCTTCCACACTCACAGCCCACGTCTGCCCCAAGGGACACCTGAAACGGTCTTTGAGACTAAGTGACCAAAATCCTGGAGAGAAGCAGTAGCAGACAGGACAAGGGGCATGCTCAGGGCTCTAAAAACAGGCTGCATACCTGGCTTCATGTCCTTCTTCCAGCAGCAAAATGGACTGGGTTCCTCCAAAAAGGGACAATAAATAAGCATAAAGAGGTATAAAACTGATTCCCCTATTCACATTTGTGTTGGCCAACCTTCTGTGCCCCACGGGTCTGTCTTCTCCTGTTACTCACACAAGGAAAACCCAGTACATTTCTTGAAACCTGTGCTGCCTGACCATCATTGCCCTGTGGCTCAAGAACATCCCCCTATCTCATGCAATAAATTCCTGATGCTTATAAAACATCTACAAGGAACTTGAGGCATCATCCAGGACACACCTGATTGGATCTTTACACCCAGCTAATTATTTAGAACATAATCCCAGCATTTGCTTTTTGCTAAGGTATCGTAATCACTTGCTCAACAAAATGCACTTTTTATCTCTATAGCCCCTTTGCTTCTCTATCTCATTAGCACAGGCTCCTCATGAGATAATAAGTTTACTTAACATTTGTGAAGTCTCCAAATTCAAGCCAGCTGCTCCTAAGACAAGTATTTAAGAGGAAGAAAAGGAGCAGTTGGGATGTAGTTGTAGGACAAAAAAAGCTCAAGGGAGAAAATAATACCCTGCTACTAAAGTTGCAGAGGGTAGAAGAAGTCTTTACCTACACCTTTTTTTAGACAACAGCTTCTGGTTTCAGGAACTCAGCTAGAGAAGGTCTGGAGAAGTTTCTAGACAAAGTACCTGCAGGTTCTCAGAGAAGCCTGTGGTCGCTGAGGCAGAGGTTTACAGAGATATATTTTTCTCAAGAGTATATGGTCTATTTAAGGACATGCACGGGAGAGAAACAGCCAGTGCATCATTTACTCGTCAGTTTTGACACCACCATTTGGGATCACAGCTCTCCGCTGGGTCAGATCACAACCCTGTCACCATCAGGCTAGATTTAGGTTAGATATTAGTAATAAATTCTTCCCTGTGAGGGTGCTGAGGCGCTGGCACAGGGTGCCCAGAGAAGCTGTGGCTGCCCCATCCCTGGCAGTGTTCAAGGCCAGGTTGGACACAGGGGCTTGGAGCAACCTGCTCTAGTGGAAGGTGTCCCTGCCCATAGTAGTGGGATTGGAATTGGATGAGCTTTAATGTCCCTTCCAGCTCAAACCATGCTGTGATTCTATGACTCAGGAGTCAGATCTGCTCAAGCTCAGGACTGGAATAACCATGAGGTCTCCCCAGCTCAGGAGAAACAAACAAATGAGATTTGCCATTTACACAGCCCTGCGCAGGGGCAAGCTGCACACCGAGGCAGACGATCTCCTGTCCTCCCTCCCTGGTGGCTCTGTAGCAGGCAATGCCTGAGAAAGCAC